TCTTATTTGGGGCTGACGGTTGCTCGTACATCTTCGCGAGCACTTCCATATGCCCCACCTTCGTCTTCTCCTTCAATATATTATGGGTGACTGATTTGACGAGCGACAATCGGATTTTCCCTAGAGCCTTTCGATCTAATATTTTCCATTCATCGTCTGATTCCTCCTTCTTCTTTCCCTTAGCCTTGCCCATCAACGGATGGTAAAGGTCGTTCTGGTATAGATAGTCCTCCATTTGCGATTTCCCGTAGGCGAAGTCTAACTCGTTAAACTTCTTAATCTTCGATTTTCTTTCCTCTGCCATGGCTCTCGCATAAATCTTTTGAACGAAGCTATGATACTAGTTGTTGGGGATTCAAAATAATCAATCAAACCCGTGCCCTTCCGGATTTTGTGCTAAGAGTTTACCAAGTAGGAATATCACTGCAAATAAAAGAAAATTTACAAGAAATATAAACAAGAAGGAACACACCAGATTTAACGAGGTTCGGCAACGTGCCTACGTCGTCGGGAGCCACACCACACAATTCTTTGATTAATTGAAGAAGATTACAATGCCCACAAAACCTAAAACAAAATCCCAAAACAATTAGGAAACTGGAAAAACAGATTTCGATCGATCGGACTATGTGAGTCGGTCGACCGGCCAGAACATCAGTTTCTTACAGGGTCTTTGTGCATGTTTTCGGTCAACCGGACCATCACATTCGGTCGACTAGATGACCACTCTCGGTCGACTGTCATCAAGCTTTGGTCAACCGGTCAGAGTGAGTTTCCTGGGGTGTTTTCCTACAGTCAATTCGGTCAACCGATCTTGGTTTTTCTGCTTCTTTGATGATTTCTTCTACAGGTTTCGGTCTTCACACTTCCAAAACCAACAGTTTTTACATGTTAAAAGAGGAGAGAAGGAAGAGAAATTACCCTAGAGATCTTAAGCAAACTTTCACGACGAATTTCGGCCGCAAAATGGGATTGGGAGAGATGAGTTGTGGCTGAACGAGAGAGAGACCGGAATTGGAGAAGAGAGATGTGGTTGGGAGAGATGATGTTGTGGGAGAAAGATTTCGGTCAGTTTATATAGGGGGCGGGACCCAGAACAAATAGTCGGGGTTAGCAACCCCGACTGTTGTGTCACTTAGCCAATTTGTCAGTTCCCCAATTTGGGGTTGGACCACTCTTGGCTAAATGGTCAGGGTTGGGAACCCCGACCATTTCGAATTAAGCATTTCGAAATGGTCGGGGTTCCCAACCCTGACAAATTTAGCACATGCTAAATTAGTCAGGGTTTCGAACCCTGACTTGTTTAGCTGCCAAATTACAATAGGGTAGCGGGCGAGCTCCTAATTAGTTGGGGTTGACAACCCCGACTAATTAGGACAACGATTTTTTTAAATCGACTCACTTTCTGACCATGAGGTTAACGTGGCAAGAAAGTGGGTCGATTTTGGTAATAAAGTTTAAAGTGTGTCGAATTTTGGGAATAAATTTGGGAATTGGTTCAATTTAAAACTTTCATCTTTAGGCAAAACGTCCGTGGAGGTCCATGGATATTAGCCGGATATCATTTCAGTTCTTAATATTTAAGAGTTATCACCACCTTTAACCTAGGTCCTTTACACAAACTTCTATTAAATCTTATTGACATAACGATGATGTGACCTTGCTACGTCAAGAAATTTTTTTTTTTGGTGAAGGTCCAAGTTTCTCCTATCGTATAACTGCCACATTAATCGGAAACTAGTAAAATGACAAGTGTGTGTTGAACTTGGAATTTCACTAATATGCCGCGTCAACAATATTTAATAGAATTTTATTGAAAAGATCATTAGAGGTAACATTAGAGATCCAAGTGATGACTTCCATACATTACGGACCTAAATGATGTTTGGGCAATTTATGGGGGACCCTCAACTGAAGAAGTTTCGCCGAAATTAAGCACAAATTTATTTAACTAACTGGACTCTGCCCCGACCCGTTAAGGGCTGACGCAATTAGTTTTTCTTCACTCGCCCCCGTGCTCGCCGTCGAGCTTCATCCCCCGCGACAATGTCTTCTCTCCTCCCATCTCTCACCCTCTCTCCTCCTCATCGCCTCCACTCTCTCTCCTACAATTCCCCCTCATCTCTCACACAATCTCCCCCAACCTCTCTCTACAGACCCCCAACTCCTCAATTTCCACCAAAACCCAAAACCCTAACCCTAACACGATCCCCAAACCCCAAAACCCGCCTCGTTCCGCTCGCAATCAATGTCACAGCTGGAAACCCCGAAGACCCATCAAGGAAATTAGATATCAGTGGAGTTGCGGATCACGCACGCGAGCTGTTCGACAATTTGCCGCAGCCAGTGAAGAGCTTTCCGTGGAGCGAAACCCTTTGGAAGTTGATGGGGATTGTATTGGATCTCGCTGTTGAAGTCGGGAAGTACCTTTCGTTGCCGGTCTTGGCTTTGTCGCAGCTGAGCGAGATGTCTTATTGTGCCCATGAGAGGAAACTGGTGCTTGTTCCGATTCCTTTTCTTGTTGGCTTTGCTGTTGCTGGAGTGATGAAGGATACTGCAGCTGGAGTCTCTTCGGATCTTAAGGTTTGCATAATGGTTTTGGTAGATGTTTCGTCTTTATTAATGAAGATTTATGCATGCTGTAGTATAGTTGCAATAGGGGCTATGATGTTTTTGCACCCTTTTAATTTCTTGGTTCTAAAACAATATCATGCAACATTGTTATAAAAAAAATTAAAAAAAAACATTTGACCATTAGCACAATAATTTCTCTATGGCAATGTCAAAATAGTGTCACTAGGACCATATTATCACCAGAAAAACCAGCACCATTGACAGACGAGTTATTGACAAAATCCTTTATTATATTTATTATTGGAATGTTCAGAAGAACTATCATTGATTGAATATTCAGAAAGATAAGTTTCTAGTCTTGTAGATTATAGAAGTATCTGAACTTGTTGAAAAATACCTCTTTTTTCTAACGGGTATCTCTCTCTGGGGAACTGAGACAAAGGTGATAAACAGTCTTATTGCACTTATGACTGCCAGCTCTTTGACAATCCCCATTGTTCAATAAGGATTATTGAAGCATTCTCACATCGTATTTGAACTTAAAAAAGAGTTCGAGTTGAAGATAACAAAAGGATAAGAAAAGAAAAGCCGAAAGGTAATTTGTGGGTGATTCTTACAGATGGCATGACTCATTTCTTTATAAATACTTGTTGTCACGCCCTAGTTCCAAAAACTGTATAAGTTGGAACGTGAATCAGCTGACGACGCAACCTTACGGTCACATTCACGTCTCTTGATCATCCTATACACAAATATATAACAAGAAAATACATCGCAGAGCATGTAATTAAGATAGCAAAAGGAAGATACGGTTATGAATAAAGAGATCTCCAGATATACAGAGTTCAACTACATCTATCCACAATGAAAAACGAGAAAGAAATACATCATCATAGTCTAAAAAGGCCACACATGGCTGAAAGGGATGTTTGAACGAATAAACTACCTAAAATAACTGAAGCTGAAGGAAAGTATAAGATAAAATGGTGATCACTACTGTTGGGCCTGCTCCTCAAAATACTCTTGATCCTGCAAAGAAAGAATAATCCTCGAGTCTGGGGTGTGCAAACCCTAGAGGAGTCAAAAATCTCCCAATAAGCATGCAAAATGAGAAAATTGTGCATGTCTAGATATATGCAACAGATATAAAAGGAAAGATAAACTAAATTGAAGATGACCAAATTAAAGATACTAACTATAAAATATCAAGAAAACACTGTCACATATCATCCAAGCACTTCATATTTTATTATATGTTATTTGAATTAGAGGGAGAATATTCTCATGTATACAAATGGGTTTTTCCATAAACCGTTCCGGAAACATGGCTTCAAGTTAGGTATTGGCCTTTGGCCTTACATATATATAACTCAAGATATCTGATATGCGCATAAATCCACTTATATACCCTTTATATTCTCCGCCAATGCCCCTTTATTAAACCCTATATTTTTATCCGTTTATTAAAATGTCTGTGCGTGAAATGTTATGCACTAACCACAATTATGAGGAAACAACTTCCGTAGAATCATGAAAAATAGCCATGGTCTAGAACATGTCTAATTAAGATGGGTACACCATCTAGTTGGTGCTATAATAACAATAATAATAGTCAAGGAAAAATCTCACACCGGAATATTAATGTCAAGGGTGTAGCCATGCTATGATGACACACTTATGAATCATAGTTTGATGGAAGTTGTCTTCATGCACAATCGGTCCTATTAATGTCACTAGGTGATCAAACATATCATTAGGTAATCAAACATATCCTCATTCATCATAGCAAAAAGGAAAAATAAATAATTAGAGTAATTATTCAATATCAAACTGGGTCAACCAACCGGGTCTGGTTTAGTAGCTTAACAACTCAACAAAGCTGATTTTGGTGAGCTACAGACCCCAAACGGGTCTGGTTACGGATGGTGGCTTCGAACCGGGTCGTGTTTTAGTTCACAATAGACCTAAACCTATTTTTTTTGAAAATAGAAATGCCACGAGATTCGAATCCGAGACCGAAGGTATAATGTACAAGCCACATAACCACTAGGTCACAACAATTCCTCATGAAATTAGTAGCACTGGAAGCATATTAAAATCAAAGTTTTCAATTATTCGAAAAATCTCCAAAAATATAAATTAAGGATAGATCATCTTCTACTAAAGACTTTGAACCTTAAATTTCTACTTGTACAAAATTTATATAGCTGAAAATAATAAGAAAATTATAATACTATTAGCATCAACAGGGGAAAGGTTTGGAAAAAACTAGTTTAGTTAGACAACTATCCTAAATCTTAATAAAAAATTTTATGGTAGTTTAGCCGCTAAATATTCTGTAGGAAAACTCTTATATGTCAAAGAAAAAATTATTTTCTAATTGAAAAGATAATTATTATTTAGAAAAATAATATTATAAAAGTCTATATATATTTATTTCTTGTAATATAAGACTAGGATTTCAAAAAATTATAATCATACACCTCAGGGCCTACTCTTTAAAAACATTACAGAAACTAATCAATTAAAAAATACTTTTAGAAGAAAATATTTAAATGTATGGAGCAAAATTTTAATTTTAGACAATATTATTTAAACCATACTTTGTTTTTGTTGAAACATAGATACAATTATATTTTAGGATAGTTTTCTTTCTTTATTTATTTTTGTATGCTATATGTCTATGATCCTAGGAAACATACACCTCGGGTCAAATAAAACTCACAACTTGTATATTTAAACAAGGGGCATAACTTACAAAGGAAAAAAACTAGTAATTGATGGCCTAAAGTTTTAATAATCGAACAAAGTACGTTCATATTTGAAGAGTAAACTGCATCAAAGAATTTAACCAATAACCTCTACTTCAAAGATGAATCCATAGAAAGCTCTACGTGTAGTAACATTCATTAGGTCAAATTTCTGTACATATCATAGACAATGAATTTAAGCATGAGAACTTGAGAATCAATAATATAAACCTGGAGGGAAAACTTATACTACACTTAACTGACATAAATTCTAAAGTTTAGTGTACGTTAAACATGGAGAGAAAAACATATATACATATAAACCTTAGGGCTTGTTAGGATTTGCAACTAGTGAAAGGAAGTTATAAATTCTAAAGTTTAGTGTATGCTAAACATATGTAAATTCTAAAGTTTAGTGTACATTAAACATGGAAAGAAAAACATATATACATGTAAACCTTAGGGCTTGTTTGGATTTGCAACTAGTGAAGAAAAGTTATGGAAACTTAGGATAAGTTAAGTTAAGGGAATGTAAGGGAACATGTAAAATTTGTTTGAGAAATTAGTAAGGGGAATCAATGGGAACTTATTTCACTCCATTTGGAAAGTTTAATAAAGTGAAGGGAAGGGAAGTGAATATATGTAAACTTACATAAATAACTTTGCATGTTATTAAGTCATTAATTATTAGAAGTTAGATAGGGGGTAAATGGTCTTTCCATAATTATTTTTTTATTAGAAGTTACCTGAATTTCCCTTCACCCTAGTTACACCCTAAATTGGAGGGTAACAAGAACTTTATTTTTCTCCCCTCATCTACCATCTCTTCTTCCCATTACATAACATAAGTTAATTTCCAAACAAGGATAAAGATTCCCCTAACTTCTCTTACCCTTCATTATTCCCAATCCTAACAAGCCCTTAGGCTATGAAGGGAACCAAGAGAAAACAAACCTACTATGAACCTTACATAATAGCAAATCTCATTTGTTTCTGGTATTAGGATAATAAAAGTGATGAAAACTATCTACCACTATTCATCATGATCAGTAGAAATCACTGTTTTAAATATCGGCCGATAACCGATATTATCGGCCGAGTTATCGGATTTGGGAGCTCTCCGATAGGATAACTTGGATTTTTAATCGGTTATCGTTTTTGGCAAGTTATCGGGGAGTTATCGGCATTATCGGTACTTATCGGCCGATAAGTAAGGTTTTTTTATCGGGATTATCGGCCGATAAGTAAGGCTATGCAATCGAATAGTTTCATCGTGCAGTCAAGATGCAAGTTTTGCTTTCTATAATTGGTTAGTGATTCTAAACATGATGATTTACATTTTGGTATGTTTATATTTCATTATGCATGGTTAGATTATATTTTTCAGTTATTATATTATATATATACACCATTCTGTATATCACTCCGATAAATACTACTTATCCCCGATATATCCCCGATTTCCGCTATCCGATAAGGATTTTGGCCGTCCGATAAATCCCCGATAACCGATATTTAAAACCTTGGTAGAAATAAATACTATACTAGATTAAGTGATTATGGAAGATTAAAAATGATAGAAATGCTTGCCAAAAAAATATAATTTGAACTCTGAAATTGAACATTCCTATCTGTGCCCTGCATTTGAGTGCTCGGTCCTTCTCTGCTTCTTTTTTTCCATGAGGTGAAAGGAAATATCATGGAGAAAGATAAGATTAAAAAGGTACAAGTTTGTTATCGAGGAGATGGTTAGATATTTTCAGGCAATTGAGGGAATAGGTTGTTGAGATCTTTCTCTTTTCTTCCTCCTTTCAAAATATGATAAGATGGTTATGGGAATATCACAGAAACGTTTGTCTTTTTCCCCCCATGAGACGGGATAGTTGTAGATATCTGTTGGAGGATAAATAGGATAAGGATGATAAATTGTTAACAGGTTTGGGTTATATTGCTACTTGGGCCTTGAAAAAAAGTTCTAAAGAAAGATGGGCTAATAAATAAATAAATATATAAATTCATGGATAAATATTAACTCATCATCAAATTCCAAATTCTGGTTATTACACTTGTCTCGAGAGCCTATCCTTTGACAGTATACCTACATGTGGTTTGTGACTTTTTTAAGTTGCATATTTTTTTTCATAGTAGTTTGGGAAAGAACTTTATATGTTCTTTCATGTTGCAGATGATTATAGAAGATGATGCCATAAAGTGTTTTAAGTGCTAAAGTTGCATTCTTTGAGGTCCTCTTTGTCCTGA